TTCCTGCGGACGGGATGGGTAGCTCGGCTCGGGCGGGTCCCAGGGGCCCGCAGGCTCCCCAGGTGCCCTGAGGTTTCCGGCCTCCTCTCAGAGTCTCGGGAGCTCCCGATCCCTGCCTGGGTCACCGCCATCTGCGGGTTTCCCCCGGTCCCCGGCCCGCCCTCACCAGGCGCTGTGGCTGCAGTGCGTCAGCGACAAGGTGTAGCCACTCTCCCAGGGCTCCTTGGCCTCCTCCGCGGTGACCTGGGGACACAAGACCGCATGAGCCTCGGCGGGGCCAGGGCCGGCAGCCCGAGGGAAAGCTGCACCCCGCGGCCGCCTACCCGGTGGAACTTGCGGCGGAGGCTGTCCAGGGCCTCCAGCTGACTCTGCCGGCCGATATTGGGCTTGTACACCGTGAAGAGCTGGCCGCGGTTCTGCTCCGCCAGCAGGCAGCTGGGCTTGTTACCGCGGACCTGCGGAGGAGGGTGTTGAGGCCGCGCTCAGGTCCCACCCCGTGGGCTCTCCTCTGGGGGGGTGACCCCGCCCGACCCCACCTTGTAGGAGAGGTAGAAGCCGTCATAGGGGCCCGTCAGCTCCAGTGACTTGGCAACGGCGTCCTCCCACTTCAGGCCGCGGTCCACGCTGATCTGCCACGGCAAGGAGGGGTGTGAGTGTGGTGGGGGCAGGGTGGGCAGTGTGTGAGGGGCTGGGGGGCTTCCTGCTGACCTTGTAGAAGACCACCTGCCCGTCCTGCGGGTGCCCAGGAGCCAGGAACACCTGCTGGCTCTCCTCGTAGATCTCCTCGATGCCGGGAGCAAGGTCTAGGAGGGGTGGGTGGAGGGTGAGTGGTGTCCGGGCCTGGGACTGCGGGCTGGGGCCAGGGTCAGTCCAGTAGCCCGGGTGCACCCTAGAGACGAGAGACGACCCCCGGAGAGCACAGGGGAGGGTGTCCTGGAGCCTGGCCCGACCTGGCTCAGCGTAGGGATGGTACACATGGGCCCCAGCCTGGCAACCGCTCAGGTCAAGGTAACCCCAAGCAGGCTGTGGGGGGACTGTGGGAGCCTAGGGGCTGCTCAGGTGCTGGGTGACCCTGAGCAGGCTGTGGGGGCTCGTGGGAGCCTGGTGGGCTGTGGCACTGCTCATGAGTGAAGTATCTGTGGTCCTTCCCCAACCTTCGTCTGGACCAGGGAAGTGGTCCTGATGGACAGGCCTGGCCCTATGAGGTTGAAAGCACAGGCTCGCTGGCCTTTGGTTCACAATGATGTAGCAGGCGCCCCGTGGAGCCTGGGGATGAGCACGGTGGGCAGTGTGCACTAGCCTGAGCACCGTCCACAGAGCTGCACGGGGATCCCACAAGCCCCGTGCCCACGCCTACCCAGGCCCACCCAGCACCCTCGCTCACCCAGAATGCACAGTGCTCCTATCAGCCCCTTACCCACCTAGGCCCTCCCCATGCTCACCCACACTGCCCAGTGTTCCCACGAGGTCCATGCCTACCCGGGATGCCCACTGTTCCCACGAGCCCCTCGCCCACACCCACCCAAGTCCCCCGGTGCCTATGCTCACCCAGGATGCCCATGTCATATTTGCCCTCCCGCTTGTCCATCTCGATGAGGTGGTCGAAGGTGTCTGAGAAGTACTGGAACAAGGCGTTCTGCTTGTACACCTCCAGCCCCAAGATGCGATTCAGGAACTTGGTGATGGAACAGTCTGACAGTGGAGGGAGCCAAGCCTCAGGCTGTGCTGGGAGTCCCCGCTCCCCTCGTTGCTCCCCACGTGGGGCCAAGGTTGCATGAGATGAGATGGGAGCGTCTCTGGGCCTAGGTGTGGGGCACTCACCCTTCTCCACGTCCAGGCAGCCATTTCGGGACTCCCGGCCGCCAATGCCCACAGACAGCAGGCCCTGCTTCATGTCTGCGGGGAGACGGGCCTCACACGCTGGTCTTCCCAACCCTGCCCCTCCCGCAAGGGCCCTAGCTCCTTTTCCAGAGGGGGCTCTCCGGGGGGCCTGGGGAGCAGCTGAGGCCTAGGGCTAGGCCAGGGCTAGGAGTGGAGCCTGTTGCCTGACTGACAGGAGTGAGAACAGCACGTTCTTGGGGTATAAATTCAAATCCCAGGCCCCTCAGCTGCCCTGGAAACCCACCCGGTGGCTGCTGGGGGCCGCCTTGGCTCCCTTTGCCTTCACAGCCCCCTCTGTGCGTGTGGGCAGAGATGTCTCAATACACAACAACCGGCCTATAAAGTCTGCTGCCCCAGCTGCTCTGGAGCCCCTGCCCCCCCAGGAAGACCCCCACGGGCCCAGCTTACCCCGGAAGAAGGTGGAGACCCCTCCAGGATATCCCTGGGGCACAGGCACTTTGTTCTCAGTCTGGCTCAGGATGGTGGTAAGGACACAGTGCAGGGCCCGGGTGCCATACTAGGGGGAGAGGGTGAGTGGGGAAGGAGGCCCCGGGAGGAAGCCGGCCTCCCCTGGACCCCTGCCTCTCTAGAACCCCACCCTTCCTTAGGCCCCTGGCCCCTACCCTCCCCTAGACTCCTAGACCCCACCTCCCTCAGCTCTCAGCCACCTCCTCCCCCAGAGTCCTAGACTAGGCCCTCCCCCAGACCCCTGGGCCCCGCCTCCCCCAGCCCCCATCTACTCCCTCCCCCAGGCTCTTAGATCCGGCCCTCCCTAGACCCCTGACCCTGCCTCCCCCAGCCCCGCCTTCCCTGCAGTACCTTATTCTCAAAGTTGTACTTGCTGAGGTCACGGGACTCCGTGGCGCGGCGGTCTCCATGGGTCAGGGCCCCCTGCAAGGGGTGGGGAAGGTCATCGGTTGGTCACCTGGGGTCTGGCCTCTGGCCCCCAACAAAGCTTTGCAGAGCCTTCCTGGGCCTGTCCCTGGTTCTCAACCCAGCCCCCACCTGCTCACCAGACTCTCCAGGCGCTTGGCCACAATGGAGGCGAACCGGCGCTCCCCGGCCAGCTCCGAAATGAGGAAGACGTACTCTGGCGCAGAGACCTGGTTGGACCGGTGGGTGCGGCCTGGGGACAAAGCGGCTCTCAGGGTCCGGCCACGTGGGGGCGGGGCCGAGACCACGTTGGGGGCGGGGCCAGGTAAGGCTGGGGGCGGGGCCGGACTCACCGAACTGCTGGATGGCGCGGTCGGCGCTCCAGGGCAGCTCCAAGGTCATGTGCACACGGCGCCGCTGGTTCTGGACGCGGCGGTCAGCTTGGAGGGAGACACCCGAGCTGGAGGCCTCCGAGATGATGGCCACGAGCTGGGGGGGCGGAAGGGACCGGGACGCGGTTGGTGCAAGGCCCGCCCCAAAGCTGCCGCCGCCTCCTCACCCTCTCGGCCCCCGCTCCAGGTCACCAGGACGTCCAGGGGCAGCGAGAGGCCTGCGCGGCGCGGACACCACCCGTCACACGGCCACTCGCGCCCGCACCTGGCACACACACACTCGCAGAAGTGCGCGGGTCCGCAGTCCCCGGGGACCCTTGGGCCCCTCTGTGCCTCCTGGGTCCCGCGGGCCGCGCCCAGTGCACTGCGGCCCCACACCTTCTCGCCGCTCATGAATCGCTGCTTCTCCCTGAGGTTCACGTGGTCGATGGACAGACCCTGCTCTGCCCGCGACTCGAAGGCCACCGTCCCGTCGGGCCTGGACACCACGCGGCCTTTCCTGCCGGTCATCTGCAGCCGGGACAGGGACAAAACCGGCCGTCAGTGTTGTGGCCTCGCAGGAGTCTGGCCACCCATGTCTCAGCTTCCCTATGTCCCACAGTGGTCGTGGGCTCCCAACTGTGGATGCGGCGGGGAGGGGGCCCTGGGAGAGGGAGAGGAGGACTGCTGGACCCAGGTGATGTGTGCCCGTCCAAGGCCTGGTATTATCAGCCAGCCAGCGCCACGGAGTGAAAAAGTGAAGCTGGGCAGAGAGAAGGCCGCAGAGCCAGGCCCAGGGGCTTGAGTCCTGGCCCTGGGCACCCCAGGGGTGCGTTCCCCCAGGGTCTAAGCAGAGGCCAGTGCAGGCCAGGCTGGGGGATCTGGGGCTTAGAGGGATGGGGGAGGAAACCCTCTACAGGAGGTCACGGCCTCTGGCCGAGCTGGACAGGACGCTACTGCCCCCACCTCCCGCCCCCCAGGCTTCCGGAAGGCCCCCTCCTCGCAGGGCCGCGGTGATGCAGAGTGACCAGCAGGGGCCACCAGAGCCGCGCAGAGCCCGGGTGAAGCCCCGCCCACTGCCCACGCCCCACCCACCACCTACTCCAGCTGCTGTCCTACCCACCTCCGCCACCCGCTGGGGGCCGCCAAGCTGGTCGATGAGCTCGTCCAGGGTGTTGACTGGCAGCTCCCGGCCCAGCCGCCGCACTTTATCCAGCAGATCCTGCTTCAGTCGCTCCACCCGCTCCAGGACCCCGGGGCCATGCGGGTCTCTCTGAGGGAGGCACAGGGGTCCTAGGGAGGACGTGAAGGGTCAGGGCAGGACATGTCAGCTGCCTTCTAGGGCCCACCTAACTCAAGGCTGGCCCCTGCAGAGCAAGGACAAGGGGCCTGGGGCAGCCCTGAGGGACGGCAGGGTGGCAGGGAAGACCAGCACCGTGGCCCAGGACTGCTTTTCTGCGCTTGTCTCCCTGAGACCAGCTAAGGCGAAACTGAGCCTCCTTATCGGGGACCAAACGCTGCGACCTCACGGCCTCCACGGGAGTAGGGACTGCCCAGCCCCGAGCCCCAGCTCTGCCTCTGACCAGCGGTGTAACCCCTGACCTCCCCTCTCTGGGCCTCAGTTTCCCCCAACTGTAAAGTGGGCACCATAGCAGCAGCTGGGCTCAGGTGGGCTGGACTGAGGGCTACAACCTGGGGCAGGTGGTGACCGCCAGGAGGCCGGGGGAGCCTCGCACTGGAATCCTGACCCACAGGTGGTTGGCCAGTCGGGCGAGCCCTCACCTCGGTCATCACTGGGGAGCCCGATGGCATCAACGATGACCACATCGTCATCCATCAGGGACTCGGGGGAGGAGTTGAAGTCGCTGTCCAGGCCGGGGTCTGACTCTGTGCTGCTGTCATCGCTGATGCGGATGATGCCCGCCGCCTCGCACGCCAGCCGGGGGGCTTTGGCCCCGCGTCCCCGAGGTCGCCCTGCAGGGAAGGACAGGGTCACCGAGGACCAGACCACAGCAGGGTGGAGGAGCACGTGGAGGAGACGCAGCAGGACAGGGCAAGGCCAGTGGTCCGAGCTGGGGAGGTCCATCCGAGACCCCCTGCCTCTGGGCAGGCAGCTCAGCTGTTCTCCGGGGACGCCCTCTTAGGAATCCTGTGCCCTGTGGCCAGGAGGGCGTGGTGTCAGGGGGCAATATTTTGCTTTATTCTGAGACAGAGTCTCGCTCTGTCACCAGGGTGGAGTGCAGTGGCATCTCACTGCACTCCGCCTCCCGCGTTCAAGCGATTCTCCTGCCTCAGCCTCCCGGGTAGCTGGGATTACAGGCGCGCACCACCACGCCCGGCTAATTTGTTGTATTTTAGTAGAGACGGGGTTTCACCATGTTGGCCAGGCTGGTGTCAATCTCCTGACCTCATGATCTGCCTGCCTCAGCCTCCCAAAGTGCTGGGATTATAGGTGTGAGCCACCGCGCCGGCTTATTTATTTTTGAGATGGAGTTTCACTCTGTTGCCCAGGCTGGAGTGCAGTGATGCAATCTCAGCTCACTGCAACCTCCACCTCCCGGGTTCAAGCAATTTTCCTGCCTCAGTCTCCTGAATAGCTGGGATTATAAGCATGCACCACCATACCTGGCTAATTTTTCTATTTTTAGTAGAGATGGAGTTTCACCATGTTGGCCAGGCTGGTCTCAAAATCCTGGCCTCAGGTGATGTGCCCGCCTCAGCCTCCTGCTGGGATTACAACAGGCGTGACTCACTGTTCCTGGCCAATATTTTATTTTTATTAATTTTTTTGAGACAGAGTCTTCCTCTGTCACCCAAGTTGGAGTACACTGGCGTGATCTCGGCTCACTGCAATCTCCACCTCCCAGGTTCAAGTGATTCCCCTGCCTCAGCCTCCCAAGTAGCTGGGATTACAGGTGTGCACCACCACACCCGGCTAATTTTTGTATTTTTAGTAGAGACAGGGTCTCACCATGTTGGCCAGGCTGGTCTTAAACTCCTGACCTCAGGTGATCCACCCACCTCGGCCTCCCAAAGTGCTGGGATTACAGGCATGAGCCATTGTGCCTGGCAAAGAGGACCGTATTAATAAAACCACATCCGAGGTCCTTTCAGACGTGGCTAGTGTGGTGGATACGTGGGGTGCCTGGGGAGGCCACACACCAGACCTCGACAGGCAGCTCTAGGCTTCCCTGTGACAGCAGCCTGGGGTTTATCAATGGGCTCCGAAGGGGCCATGGAGACCCTGAAAATGGAAGGTGGGAGTGGGTGGGAGCAAGCAGTGGGGCTGGACCTCTGCAGCCCCGGGTGGTCCCGGCTCAGCCCCTCGGGTATGGTTGTGTGGCCTTGGGTGAGCTACGTGGCCTCTCTGAGCCTCGCCACCTGCCGTCCCAGGGCTGATTACGGAGGAGGGAGAAAGCGGAGGGGCAGGAGTGGGTGGGGCTTTGGCGCACGGGGCTTACGTTTCCGCTTGCTGCCTGCTCCTCTGTCCCGCTTTCTCTTGGTGGATGGAAAGTGCTTCTGAATTAGCGACAGGAACACGCCTCTGAAAGTGAGACGCGGAGTTTATTCTCACACGAGGAGCGGAGGCCAGGTGGGGTTGCTCGGACGCACCCCTGGGTCCCTGTGGGGGTCCCGGAGAGGGCCAGTCCTGGGCAGAGGGTCTCCCTTGGGGAGTGGGCTGGGGGCTGCCTGTGAGCTCTCCTTTGGCCTGCTGGTGTCACAGGGCCACCTCAGCCCACCAGGCTTCCCCCGCTCTGAGGAATGTGGCCGGATATGATGACGGCTCCCAGGACGGGGGTAAGGGGTAGGGTGAGGGGGTAGCTAGGGGCTCCCGGCCAAGGGATACCAGGCATTGGGGAGCTCTGACCCCCAGGCAATGGGGGGAGCTAGGGGGGCTGCCATGACCCTCCCGGGGCATTCTCAACCCCCAGAGGAGAGGCTGGGGCTTCAGGGAGCTGGGAGGGCCAGCCCCTAAAATCCACAGCACCCTTGTTAAAACGGCATGGGTGCAGGAAGCCTCCTTCTAAGACCCCTGGAGACCACGTCCCAAACCTTCCAGGCCCACCACACCTGGAATCCACCTCCACGCCTCTGCTTCAGACCTGGAGCAGAGCTGAAGGTCTCTGCGGCCAAGGCTGGGGTCCCAGCAAAGCCCACCCCAGCACCTCCTGCTGCTGGGGCCGAGGGGCAGGGTCAGGCAGCAGGTGGCCACAAAGAGGGGTGGCCACGAGCGCAGGAATCCCGCAGTCCCGTCCCCACCGTGACACTTACTCAGCGGCCGAGACAAAGCAGTCGAGGTGCCCGTCGTTCTCCCCCAACACCTCCCGCGTGCGTGCCTCGCCTGTGGACTGTAGCCCGATGACCACACACTGTAGGACAGCAGAGGACCGTGAGCCACCAGCCCTGCTATGACCACACACTGTAGGACAGCAGAGGACCGTGAGCCACCAGCCCTGCTATGACCACACACTGTAGGACAGCAGAGGACTATGAGCCACCAGCCCTGCTATGACCATGCACTGTGGGACAGCAGAGGAACCAGCCAGGCCTCAGGTGACAGCCACGTCCCTCACTCTGCCCCTGTGCTCGCCTCCCCAGGAGGGGCCCTGGCCCACCACAACACACACTGCTGGGTGGGGGTCTGCCGGCTTCCTGTCTCGGGATGGTGAGCTGCCCACCGTGTGGTCACTGTCTGCACTCCGGTGTTCCGACACCCTCGCTGGCTCAGATTGGAGGACGGACATCCGAGCGTCTCTCGCCCACCAGGGTGCAGCCCCCATCCACGTCTGGGGGGGTGCCAGGAAGGACCAGGCAGAAGAGCAGCCCCCACCCCTGCAGTCCTGGCCACCCTCAGCCCTCGAAGGTCGAAGGCCGCAGCCGCTCACCTTGTCTCGCGCCAGCTCCTCTCGGGCCAGCTCCACCAGCCGGCGCACCTTGGCGGCGATGCACAGATACTTGAAGAAGCGCTGGTGCGCCGACCAGAACTGGCCCCACAGGGACTTGCGTGACTCCAGGCCGATCCAGTCGGCCGCCTGCTGGAACACGTTCAGGGCCTCAGCCCACTGCAATGACACATGACACGGCGCCCCTGAGCTCTGGCTCCTGGCTCCCGGCCCACCTGCCGCCAGCCCTGGGCAAAGCATCCCCACGCCTGGTGGAATTTAGGGCAGGATGGGGGTGCTGGGGGTGTGCACTGTAAAAGGCACCGCCTCTACCTATACGGTAAAAACCTGGAAAACCAAAACACCGGCCGGGCGCGGTGGCTCACGCCTGTAATCCCAGCACTTTGGGAGGCCGAGACGGGCAGATCACGAGGTCAGGAGATTGAGACCATCCTGGCTAA